CTTATAATCGCATATGTGACTAGTCGAGTAGTGAATTAATGGTCTCTTTACTAAATATTTAGTGTATTTTACGTTTTGTGTGCCTTTTGTTGCTTGGTAGTGTGACTGTCGGCTGTAAGTGGTTTTATTTGCCGGTGTGTTTCACTCTATTCAACCAAGCAAACCCATTGAGGGATTCTTATCCACGAATGATGACAGCCTAATCTCATGACTACCATTGACAAATGCTGCTGATTGTTGACGGCGGCGAGCGAAATGCACACTTGGAACGTGGAAGCGTCAACATACAACACCTATGGGAAAATAATCGTGCCTATCATTGAAACTGCATTTTCTTGAATGCTGTGCCAATACCTTTTTGTAAGATTTATAGTGTCTCTATTTTTTATAAGTTTTACAAATATAAGTACACGACAATTAAGTAGCAGGAACTAAGAACACGAACTTTAAACCATTACTAAAAAAAATGACTTAATATTAACTATATGTCAACTGGAATATAGGTTATTTCATAACAATACGAGTTTTGGCTAATTAGTAAATTCATCATAAGCATATATATAACAATGAACAATCATTCAAATATAATAGTACTTCGGACATCTAAAAATACCTTTATAACTTCTAAAATATAAATTATATCATATAGCAGCGGATGTAGACAATCGGAAATCATCCGCGGTTGGAACCCGTAGCCATACACCAGGTATAATGAACCCCGTTACACAAATTGCGTAGGTGTATCATGATACGAATGGTACGGTCTAATGGCATATAATGTCATAAGAAAAGAGTCCATTTCTGTAGATTCACAATAGTTCCAAAAACTAGTTAGTTGACATCTTGTTTATATGTATAAAATTATTCAACTCCGTACATTACAGTAATCAACACGACAACTACCACAGAGTCCATTGATTTGGGACCCAGAACAATAGTTCGTGTTATTAATATATTTATTTATAGATAAACCTTGTGTTCCGTCATAATTTGACGTATGAGAGTGAACAGCATATTGAGACGTCCTCTGTGAAACGCTTATCTTTTTTATTATTTCACTTCTTTCATAGTGTGTAACTTGGCCTTTTGTATGCTTTTATTGGTGGCACTGATTAGATCAATCCTTTGAAAACATCGTTGTTTTATATGTCTCGGACCACCTCATATGTTTCTTGTAGCCTTTACAGCCTTGTACTTAGGTACATACTGCGACCAACTTTTATGTGCGACTATAAGTTATGTTTACCATCTTTTGGTAGAAAAGAGACTCCGACTATATAATTATCATAACTTTCTTCGAGACGACTATACCATCTTATTGTTACTTGTTACGTTTGCTATTTGAAATAAAATACCCTGTGACGTCTTACTTTATTTCCAACACACTTGAATAAGTCCAATCTATACTTATCCGTGTGGTAAATATTATGCATACGGAGTGTCACCATCCCTGTTCATCCCGTGGGTGTTGTTGTTAGAGTCGACTAAGGAAGCAAACTGTATACCAACTTGATACCTACCAACCCGTCTGGCCAGCGTGGTATGGCCGTATTGCAGTAGGCCCGAACCTCCTTTCTAAGTCATATATATATATAAGGCCCATGCCCAGCGCAGACAGTAGACATTTCCATTTATGACAGTCTATTCTGCCTATTAGATATTTTACTGTCTGATATTTTGAGATAATTGTCTGAGTGGAACAATATCACTAATATCTCACAATTCGTAAGATTCTGTTATAAATTCTGTACCAAAACTGTTATTATACTACTATATTAGGCATGCAAGGGTGTATTGCAACATACAAATATAATGACACATTTTAAAATGTTCTTTGAATGACCTGGTATCCCAATTTTCCGGTTTCGATATTTAATATGCTTAACTAAAGTATTTCTGTTTTGCAATTTATTCATGTTTCATAGGAGAGACAGTTATTTGGTGAATAAACAATTTACTTATATTGCTGTTGGTATTGTTATGAAAATTGATTTTCTTGTTTATGCAGTATCGGTGTAGTGACGGATTAAGAATACGGAATGTCACTACCCCAATTCATCCCATGGGTGTCGTAAGAGTAAAACAACGCAGGACACCAGCACTGCAAAAAGAAGGAAAACTTGACACAAACCCCATACCAACCCATCTGGCCAGCGTGGTATAGTAGGCCAAAACCTCCTTTCTAAGGAGAGGCCTATGTCCAGCAGTGGACTATTAAAGGCTGTTGATGTGATGATGCAGTATCGGTACCAATTGATAGGTTATCAGACTACATATCATGCAATTCTTTCTAAACATTATCTGTATACAAAATGGGTTCATATTTGCCAATATTACCACGATTGTCATATTGGTAGCCACTTCTATTCATCCTCATATTGGATCTAACGACCTTACTTATCACTAGAATAAATAAGTTTATTATGGCTTACCTCTGTTTTACGCAGGTTTTTAAAAGCACTTTAGCTATCGCAAGTCTAGCATCTATTATGGAGTGCACAATGCCGTGTAAAGAGTTGTCAACTACCCGTGCGTTTCTAAGTTGGATCAGCAATAACAGTGTTGCAATATAATATAACGCATTAGAACATTATGTGCCTCTGTTTGTTATCGTATTACTTCTAAACGACTTGCTATATTTGTATTGTCAAGACAATGGTTCGTATAATCACTGCGCGCAGACTTAGTAGTAACGTGAATAAAGTACGTGATATGTGACCTACAATCCGATAATGTAATTTCAACAATTTTAATATTCGTGTGTCTACTGTACTGTGTGTATGTAATATTTTTACAGTCAGCTTATTGAGCTAGAAATTTAGCATGTAGTAACTGTAACGGCCTTCGATTATTTTGCATAACTGATTCATACTACTATTCTTGGTTCCTTATAGTTAGTTTATTACATGATTGGTGCCAATTCCAAACTGAATGATGTATGCGCTAGAAAAGAGCATGTGTACCTACAAAAGGTTGTGGTTTTTAATTCGTTTCAACCTTTTTTTTTGTTGACGGGGTGGAATATCCCTTCGATCTCCGGCTCCTTGGGGAAATAGGAGCCAGGAGTATGTGGTGTTTCCACTATAAACCAGGTCACCCTCCAGATCGAAGCCGCACCTAACTAGGCCTTATCTCAGGGAAAGCCAGTGCCTTCTCCCTGCTTATCAGCGTATCCAGATGTTGCGGCCCGATCACATTTTTAGTGCCCTACCGCAGCAATTAATCTTCGAGTACCACTAGAGGTCCCCAATCTCTGGAATTCAACTCAACCTAACTGTATTTCAAAATAAATGTGATTTTTCTAAACTCCAGCAGTCACTAAGTCCAACTTAAACTAAAATTACTTAAATTGTTTTGGTATCTGCAATCGATTCCTCTTACTTTCTCTTTAAATAAAGACCCATTCTCTGTCCTATCCCTACTGAGACATGTAACATATTTTCTTGAAACATTGACTGAAGCGTAATTTATAAGTCATAAATATCGGCTGGTAATCGTTTCGAGATGTATATAATATTATTTATCGTTGCTCTCGGCGAGGTATTACCAGTGTAGACATCACAGGGCTCGTAGAATTTTATTGCTTAATGACTGCTTCAGGTTGTACCTGAATAAATTTTATTATGTACTGTTTAGAAAATTGACAAATGGACAGACGTAATTGCTTTTACTGAAATATAATAATTATCTAGATTTGATCCAAAACTATTAAAGTGAACAGACTTTAATGTACTAAATACAGATGATTGATTCACGATTACGAGAAAATAATGCGTTGGCAGGAAATGCCAATTGATTAAATTTCTCAATCGTCATATTCGACAAACATCAACATTCTTAACCGATTGTGTAAAATTTATATAACGTAGTACTTTCTTCGTGTTTGTAAAACAATTTTTTACATAATAAAGATATTACTTTAGTAATAAAATATACTCGTAGAGACAACTAGACCTCTATGAAAATTACGTTTATTCTTTAAGGGTACTCGCACTGTAATACTGATTAGATAATAATCATATTCATTCGTATTTGTGTGTGTGAACATCGCGAGTATACATACTGTAACAAATTCGACTATTGCGTGCATTTTTAGTCTGAAATGGGTGTACCAGGGATTTCCTTTCTAGGTGTTCCTCGGCTTTTAGTGCATGCGGCGTGCGGTTTCAGTCCGTTCGAGTTCGACATAACTACCTTACAAGTCGTCCGGGTGGGGGTCATCCGAGGGAATATCCGCACGAAAAAAGTCTGTAATAGGTAACATCCCTCTAAGCCAGTTTCATAATATACCTATAGGCACATACTCGTAATTGAGACATTCAGAATCTTAAGTTTTTATTTAAATATATCACCGTTTTTTTTCATACATCTTTATTTCGTGTTGAATTGTTTCTATTGAATCCATTGTATGTCATTTTAGTGTGTTAACCATAATTCGTTTATGATACCGTGACCATTATTTACTGATAAGCCAAGAAAAACAATGAAAGGAATCAACAAATCAATTAACTGATTGTTAAAACCATTACAAATTTATTTCGAATATGATAAGCAAGTAAAAAGAAATGAAAATTGTGGCCAAGCCCCAGAGCTTTATTTCATCGATCCATTGAAATCAGAGTAGCTTAAAAAAGAAAACTGTTTTATAAAAAAGGTAACAATTAACAGATCTACTCTATTTTAGGGTTAAAATATTATTGGGTATTTATATCACGTATGTGAAACCTTCCTTTTTGTGTGGAAACCTCTCTTCTTGACACCTACCCACGGCTAAATACGGACAACCGATCAAAAAAAACACAGTATGTATTCTACAGGTTCTTGCCAAGGCCTCAGGTGTTTCCTAGAAAAAAAATCTATGAATCATATCTTTCAGCCAAGTTCGTCAAGAAAGAGACTTTTTATTTTTTGCCATAACTAACATTTCACAGGACTGGTATCGATTTTCAGTTAGACAGACTTGAGTTATATCTAAACATTGTTGTTCATCACAGTATTTTATGCCAGATAATTTCTGTTTCTCCAAACCCAACAAAAGGTAATTAGTCATTAGCTGACCGCTCCCTACAAGGTTTCTTGCGATTAATTAGAGCATCTCACACGTTGAGGTCACCACACGTTAGTAATGCTTATAATGAGTTTTGATTTATGAAGGCATTCGCTTTTGTTCTTCTGCAATTTTTTTATATTTATGGTTTTTTTAAAAAGAATATTACAAACTCTTGACCTTATCTATACATTAAATTACCGACTCTGCTTGGATTTTTAAAGCTGGTGTTTGTTTGGATGAACAGGTGCAGCTATCAATCTCATCGGATTTTGGAGTTTTTTTTATTTGATAGCCAAATCTGTAGGCTTTTAAACATTATGCTACTTAAGAAAAAGAGTGGGAACTTTAATAAATATTAATAGGGCTCAAGGAAGACAAAATTTAAGTTTTTAGTCTAATATTTATCGTATCCCTAGCCAGGTAGCCATTGGTCTCATACTTCCTACGAATTGCTACCGACCTACCTACTAAGACTTTTCTAAATAAAAAGATGTTACCATTTTACTAACATTACAAATCCTTCTTAATTTTGTATTTTCTGATCATTGTAAACCTGTTTACTAAACTGTATTTATATAAAATGTAAGTATTAACCTGTTAAAGATAAACCGTGTGCAGTTTACTTTTATAGTATAGCAAGAGACCCAGTTTCGCTATCAGTTATCAGCCTGAATTGTGACACAGCTCTGATAAGTCAAAAAAATTGCAAAGTAATAAAACTAAGCTTAACCTTAATTGTACAATAGAATAGGAATAATACACTAGTGACATGAACGTTAGAAAATCAAAAAGCAATTATTTTCCCAGGGAGCGCTTGGCGTGTAGATGCCGTGTGTATGTGTAACGCCGTAAACTCTTTTTTAAAACACGGTATTATCTCAATCAATGTAGTGACTCGAAACCAATGAGAAGGAACGAAATTGGAGACATGTTACACAGTGCTTTCTGAGGTTAAATTAAGAATATGTAGTACTTGGAACAGGTTATAAAAATGTTTACATGTACGAGCACATTTAATACAGAGAAACACCCACAAATATAAAACTGAAATTATTTATTAAGCCCTCAATATCTTTAAACATTGACAAATCATTATTATTGACCTCTGTGTGTACGTTTTAGCTGTTCCAGCAGTCTACATTTATAACATATAACAATAGTGAAAGGCTGGCCCAGTATAGTATGCCAAATAATAACCCACATTCTTACGTTCACATATGAACTGGTACTGGTATTAGGAACTTGGTACTCTGTATTCACATTAAATGTTTAAATAATATAACCGTTTATAAATTAGCTTATTTCATTATCATGTACGAATACTTGGTGGGGAACGATCTGATAGATAACAAGCAAATAATTGACGACCCTCTTTTAGAACCCATGGTTGTATAAAAACAACTTGGTGTGTATCCTGTGGACGAGAAAGGTTAGGTTCAAACAGTTGGTTCAAGTGAGTAAAAGAAAATTAATGCTTGAAAAAATAAAAGCCTTTAAACACTTTTTTACGCAATAATTTTTTTAACTGCCTGTGAATATATGTAAATTAGATAGCATAAGTGAATTTAAATTTAAATTAAAGATTATATTACATCAAAAAATATACTACAGTGTTAAGGAATACTTAGAAGACAAAAATCTAATATGTATAAACAATATGCTTTTCTTTCTTAAATTCTATTTACTACAATTTAGTTAATTTGACTCATGATCTATTTAATTGACATAATAATTATTGTTATTTATTTTGACACAAATTTTGACATTAACTTTTTTTTAATGTAATTTTTATAAAGACGTGACTCATGAATTATGTTCAGATTATGTTTGAAATGTTTTAGTGAAATTGTAATATAAACAAAAGTAATATGAAATATTTGCATGCCACAAGGTGGAATATGAAGGAACGAAAATTACCTTTGTAACAACTTTACTATTGTAACCATATTCGCAAATAAATGTTTATTATTATTATTAAATGAGGAACATGACTTCTAGAAATGGCAAACGGAGTATTATTGACCAGATTCAACATTCTTTCATAAAATTGGATAATATCCTAAAGTCATCGTTATTTTCAAGACCTAAACGTTGAGTGTATTATACTAGCGACATTGTTCTTGCTTTGGCGAACTTACAATTGTTAAAAAGTCGTAATAACTCTTTGATGAAAGTATATTTAAATAAAGTGATTCTCTTCCAGTAAGCACAACGTGCTCTTAACTTGTTGGTATTACAACCATAAATACACCTGATATGATGTTGTAATAAGGTGTAATCAAGAGCATACAGCCAAACCTATTATAGCATTCTTGGGAAAGAAGAAATTCCTTACTCATATTGCAATACTCATATGCAATGCACCTCATTCCTTGTCGCATACATTTTTACTCGTAGTAATATAATAAAAATGAGAGGTAAATACCTCTCATTTGTTTGTTTGTTTTGGCGTTTCTTCTTATGCGTTCTCTGAAACTACCAATCGGATTCAAGAAAACGTTTTTATAATGAATAGAATATTTATTGAGAAAGCTTACAGACTACGAATATCATGGTATAACCTTCAGGAGCGAAGCAGTGACCATAAATGCGACGCATGACATTAAGAGTTAAAATTACATTGACATTATAAACATTGTTAATAATCATGTGATATAAACAGGTACACGTGGTATATAAAAAGGGTTCTTTCTAGAATCGTGCAACCTTCATAGATAGTAAATAGTAAGTTAGTAGATAGTAAAAACCTACTAAACATTTAAAAAAGGCCACTCTTGTTCATGTTTAGACCAAAGGCCGTCGCAGAGACGCAGACGTAGAACAGTAACTCAACTTCATCTATTAGTAACAAGCTCTGTGTCCTGCGTGCGATTTTATATCACGCTTGCTGTCATTGTGTGCGTGTCACGTTATGTACAAGAACGCACGCTGTTGCGTTCGTTACCGTTGCATGAAGTTTTATAATTGTATTACTATGTCTACTTGCAAACGCGTTAATATACATATTACTGCTATGATTGTGTCATGATAACACCTATGAAATTTTGTCAGTATTATCCAACGTAATGGCCCCATATTACGTAAGTGGGACTAAAATTGTAATTGGCAAAATGTAGTCTCTGTCTCAGTCTCACTTTGAGGATATAGGCGTAAATACATTAAGCGGTCATCTCCAAATAGTGCCTATTTTAGACGGACGGATAGGTCGAAATTAGACAGTAATCCATTGAATTGTTGATAACAGTGAAACTCCACTATAGGTAAGGATAAAATTAGTCATTAATCTCGTAGGAGATTCATGCTTCGACACGCTAGCTCGACTGGAGTGACAGAAAAACGATGTTAAGCAATTGTTTAATTACTTTTTACCAAATTATGTAGGTTTTAGAAGGACCAACTCCTCCCCCCTACTTACTTCTCAAAGGGCTGCAAGACACTCGTGACTCTTGATTTGCAAGTAGGCACTTACCATCAGGTGACACGTCTATTTGTTTGTCCTCTATTCCACAAAAAACACATCGGTTTAAATAGCAAACATTTAAGATCTACATTTCTGTAATAAGAGAAATCTAGATTTATTTTCGATTCATATTTTACTGTGACCGTGGTTAAATGTTTGGATGACGGGTTGGAAAAAAGTTCATCCGGCGGCAGCACCGGAACAAATTTCAAGGCGCGAGGCGATAGACAGCATGTTCTTTTTTATTTCCTTTATAGTTAGATCAAATTCCTGGGCAATAGCTTACGATGGAATGTGTGGTTTATAAAAAGTGTAGTAATACATTTTGTAGTTGTTTTTGTAACTATCTTCGACTCTTAAAAGGTTAACTTAAATTGTTGATATAAATATATTCAGAAAATTACCTTTCAGATTTGGCACCAATTCAATTGGGATTGGGATTCAATTAACATACGCTATGAAAAGTTCTACGACTATCGTTTTTAGTTACTGTATTTATGTAAATATCCTTAATTTATCTAAATATGGCAGTTATACTTGAATCCTTTATTCATATCATATCACATTTCACAATCTCATTAAATCTTCTTTCAAAGGATCGTATTCATTTATGGATTGGATCAATTAAAAAAAAAAGTTCGCTAGCTTTTTAACACGCTTTTATTAGCTTCACCTGTATGTTTGTTTGTATGTAACCGACTCCTTTGGGCGTAATTTTGACTGACTTTAAACGGTCAGAATTCGTTTAAACTTTGTAGATATATCGAGGACCGATGAAAATACACTAATATAAAAAAAAATGAAAAAAATTATAGTTTAAAAAAAAAATATAGTTCTAAAAAACTAAAAAACACGCTTTCTATAGAAAACCAAACTAAAAAATAGAAAATAAATTTGAAAAAAAGCGTTGGGTGCCTGTTGTCAATAGTAAAAAGCACCCAACCCACCCAACTATAATTTTTTTTTTAAAACTATAATTTTTTTCATGTTTTTTTTTAAATTGATCCAACCTTGGCCTTTGAATAATTAATGAATTGTGCCAGCATTAGTATTGATTTTACGCCAAAACACCGTATTTAGTAAACTGTAGTAACTTTATTGATTGTGAATTTTGTTTGTTATAGCAAGAGGACTGTATCGCCGAGCACAATACTCAAGCGGGAGCAGAAGTGGTTGCGCATGCTCAACAATTGGGAGGCGTTCATGAGCAAAAACTACAAGAAGGTTCGGGAGAGGTGTCGAAAAGGTTCGTTTATTAGTTTGCTTATTTGAATTATAATTACAGAATTATATTATAATTTTGTTAGATACATATCAAGCACTGGTAATAATTAATATAATTAGTAAGTTGTTAATTTCACTAAATTCTTCGGCGTCTCCTTTTCTGTTCAAAAAGTTCGGTTGTGGAACGCCCTGCTGGTCGCAATCAGACGTGCACAAACACTTGCTTCCTTCAAAACCTTAACCCTTAGTGCAAATAAATGAAAGTAGTTTACTTTCAAAATTATCTTATATATTTCAATGGTCGTGCAATTATTTTTCTTGTCGACTATCTTCTGTACGATCGCCAAACAAAACATTTTCGTTATTGCTTACATTGTAACTGTGCCCATGAAAACTAAATTTCCAAATTAGATGTCTACTATTTTTGAGCATATTTTAATGAAGGTTCTAAACGGGGTTGTTAATACGTTAAATATTTAGTTTGTGAGGTAAAGGTTCTATCTAGCCCAAAGCACGACGAGTGACGTGACGTCATCTCAGTAACAGAGAGAAATCTAGTAAAACCACAGTGTATTCGATTTCTGTACCGATCGTTCCTGGTCACATTTATAGCAGACTCCGTTGGGAGTAAAACTGAGTTGTTAGCTAAAACTGGATTACAGGTTAGCTGATTAGAACCGTATTAACCTAACTCCTGAGTTGCAGGCGTTCATGGGCGAAGGTAGTCGCTTTCCATCAGGTGACCCGTCTGCTCATTTACCCCTTACTCCTTAAAAAAAAAACTGAATCCATTGTATTTGCACGAGGACCACACCTAGTATGTAGTATTTTAAATGGATTTTTCTTTGTATACAAGTTGTTTTTGTCGCCAGTCACGGTTGTCACAGGTTTCAACCTGTTTCAAATTGAGAATTGTTGAGCAGGATTAAAAGTAAAGTTTTTATTTCTAGGCATACCGGCATCAGTTCGTCCAAAGGCATGGCTATACTTGTGCGGCGGTCAGTTACTCCTCGAGAAGCATCCGAACGAGTATGAAGAACTTCTTCAGGCGCCGGGTGATCCGAAATGTATGGATGATATCAGAAAGGATTTGCATAGACAGTTCCCGTACCATGAGATGTTCATCAGGGAAGAAGGGCTTGGGTGAGTACATATTTAATAAGTGTTTAGTTTATAAGAAATTAACTTGACAACTACCACAGCATCGAGTGTAGGTTACACTGCTGTTGAGGTTTATAAGGTTAAAGACTATATTTGAAGTTTTGTTTGTTATTATAACGTTGAATCCTTCCTATGCTAGTCTGATTCACAATTGAGTGGATGTTTATGAGTCTTCTTATATTATTAGTTTTCTATTGTTTCCAGTCGGGTTTAAAACTACACCTAAGCATTCGGCTCCCATATCGACAGGTTCATTGCCGCTCATGCAAGTGCATGCTTATGTTTGTGTCCTAAATAGCACTTTCTAAATGTTCTAAAAAAAAAGTCTAAGTCCTTTTTTATAATTACTTTTTTCGAATATCTGACATCCGCCTAACGTAACGTACAACTGTAAAAGGTTTCCTCAAAAACATTTAATTTTTAATATAATTTAATATTTTTAAGTTAGCGAAAATTGCACTTGTAAGAATCTTGGTTTCTATAAATACATACTTGTAAACTTAAACAATATTAAAGTTTTAATATAATTCTGTCGAAATAAAACACATTTTTGTTTAATAATTATAATTAATTAAAGAGAGGAAGAGGAAGACGCACATGTTTTAGTTGTGTAGACTCGCATATTTTACTATTTCCATAAATAGAAAAGTACGATCCATACCAAACATACGCTTTGTTCACTCTTTTGTTTGCAGATATCTTCGTTTAAATAAGTAAAATTGGTTTTAAATTTCATCTATTCACATATCATCTTTACATATAGGTGGCAAAATCGGTTTCCATTTTAGGTATTTGACTACTGACCCGGAATAAGCAGCACATTCACTCATTCATAAATAAAAATGTAGCAGCTAGTAAATATGTCTCTAATTGATGTAATGAGCGTCTGCGTAATTGTGGTTAGGAGGGATTCTACACAAATATTTGATTACTAATAGTTTATCACTGTAAATATATGAAGTGACGAGGACATAAATTATGTTTTTTCCCTCGCACTATGTTGACGATAATAACAGGCAATGTCGGAATTGTTAACATTTATTTTATTTAATATATAAAACTGTTAATTTTTAGTGCGTTAGATTTTATGGTCAGTCGAGCATTTATGGTTATTTACAAACCATTGGGTCGAAAATCGGCAAAAATAATTTTTCAATATGTACTCGTATTTTAACGAACTTTTTTGTCTGCGAAATGTCAAAATTTTAACATTTTCATATAACAATCGCATATAGATCGTTGACTGGAGTATATCTTAATATCACGTTTTTATACCATAAATATCGCTTATTTGTTCACTCACTATCTTTATACTCTTATATTATTGTAACTAGGTTCATATCTATTATATCTTCATACTCGTACTTAGGTTCTAAGAAGTATCTTTTACTTTCAGTCAACAGGAGCTGTTCTCAGTCCTGAAAGCCTATTCGGTGCTGAACCCGAAAGTGGGTTACTTCCAGGCACAGGCGCCTGTAGCAGCATTCCTCCTCATGCACATGCCCGCTGTTCAAGCCTTCTGGTGCCTAGTCAGCATAAGCGATAAGTACCTAAGCGGGTATTACAATCCTGGACTGGAAGTGAGTATTTAACTCAGTCTTAATGTTACAAGAACTCTCAATATTGTGACCATGGTATTGCTATTGGTTGTGGTTTCCGCATTTAGACTCAAGATGGTAGTTTATGCGTCGAGGACTGGTTAGCTAGGTGAGCCAACCAAGCTCCTTCCAAAAGTTATACTGTGACTAATAAACAACTTACCTGACGTATGGTAACGGATTAAGTAATACGGCGTGTCACCGCTCCTATGCATCCTGTGTGTGTCTTAGGAGTCGACTAAGGGAGCAAACTACGCAGAACCACAGCACTGCGAAGAGAAGGAAAACATGAAATAATATCTATACCAACCTATCTGTTCAGCGTGGTATAGTAGGCCAAAACCTCCTTTCTAAGGAGGCTTTTGATGGTGATGATGACTTGTGTTTCACATTCAAGCTAAACTGTCATATAATCTTCATTGTAGGGAAAAGGCAGAACAATCCATATTTAAACTCAAATGGGACCGACTACGGAAGTATCTACAGCATCCAAATGAGCGTATCCATATTTAGATTGCGTTCGTTCGTTCGTTGCGGTGAAACATAAATGTCTCCACGTTATAAAGATATCTTTGTAAACACATGGTAACAGAAAAACCTAATAATATACCATTTGTGTGCCAGTTACTTGAAGACAAGTCCTTTATCACATCGGAATTCGCGTCAGCCAGGAACTTCTTGTATTATATGCATTTACCATAAAAAGGCATTTTTTTAGTGAACTTATGTTGACCATTTAACAAAAATATCGATAATCTACACGAATATTATAAATTCGAAAGTCCGTCTGTTACCTCATTTCACGCTTCGACCGCTGAAACGATTTAGATGAAATTTGGTATAGAGATAGTTAAATAGAGAGGACATAGGGCAAAAGCTAGTAATAATAATAAAACTCTTTATTGTACACCAAATATAAGACAATGTACACGTAAAACGCAGTACGATGTGCCTAGTGCAATTGGAGACCTGTTCGCAATTTTTACAGGCAACCATGGGACGGCGATTATCATTGATAAAATATATATGAGCAGTTTGGTGCACGTCAATAGTCATCGTTGGTAAATAATGAGGAACAAGTTCATTAGACAACGAAGTTGCTCATTCGTCGCACTTGTTCAAATATACTTGACTTTGTGTACAATTCACGTTATATTGTGAAATGTACACGCCAGTGACTAGTGCCCGTACATTCTACAAATGTTATCGCCAAAGACCAACTTGTGTTGTTTATTATTATGTCACTATACGGGTAATCAATATTACTAAATACTTTTTAAAACATTAACGTTCGAAATGACTTGTATCTTGTATTTATGTAATAAATTACCATTCTTGTATGCATGCATGCTCCTTTAAGTAAAAGGATTTTAAAGCAATTAATATTACATAGTTTAAAACGCTATTTCTACATTACAATCAGAAGTAGTAATAATCTTTTGATTGTTAAATACCAAATCAGATTGGTTTCGCGTGGGCTTGTTAACGGAAGAGTAGATGAACTGGGTTTCCTATCCATACTAATAGTATAAAGCAGCGCTAATCTCAGGAACTAGTAGTTCGAATTGAAAAATTATTTTATTGTTAAATATCCCATTCATTTGGGAAGGCTATAACATCCAACCCAATAGGAGCCGAGCATCAATGAAAATTTATTCCTTTTGAAAGATGCAGAAGTTGCACGGGTCACCTAGTTACTTATATAAACTTTACTACTTAATGCCTTGCTACAGAATGTTTACACAGTCCCTTCTCTTGCTTTGTTCTTATGTTCCGATCAAACTAGTACACATTCTGCCTAAGAAATGCAAAAAGTTTTACTTAAAAAATAAAATATTCGATGTTTTTTTATCAAGTTAAAAGTTCAGCATATAATAGTGACAATAGGATGACATCATGGAACCGTTCGCTAGTAACCAATTTATTTATGTGAAAACTATTGATTTAATTCCTTAACTATTATTAATTGTTCTATCCGCATTCATCTAGACATAAGAGGTTAGGTGATTTTTTTTAAAATATTTTCTTTATTCCTGTTATAGGTGCTTCAACGTGACGGTGATATTCTGCACGCTCTACTCCGTCGCACAGCACCAGCAGTCCATCGACACTTGGTCAAGCACAAAGTGGAACCGGTTCTGTACGCGACCGAGTGGTTCCTTTGCGCACTAACTCGCACACTGCCTTGGGATAGTCTTCTACGGGTTTGGGATTGCTTCTTGTGTGAAGGAGTCAAGGTATGTTACTGAAATATTCTATAATAATATCATTATTCATATATAATATTAACAGGGCAGCCATTATCATCATCTATCAATAGGGTGTTTTTTATGACTGGCCACCGAAGGGAAAATGGAGAAGGTGAGGGAACAAGGGTATGGTGTACCGCAAATCTCGGATAGGCAACAGAATTAAGATGTCCGTCTCATAATTTGAGGTCACAAGAACAGGGACATATACTGACTGCCACTAGTCTCAATTTATTTAGCGGTTTTAGAAGTATTAGAGCGACATAAAATCAAATAATAGTATGCCTTACCCAACACAAATGGTATTTTACTTATCTATCTTTTTTTCCTTTTTAAAAAGACTCCCGCATTAGGAATATTTTCTGTGTCCCAGGGAACTTTATAAACACACATGAAACTTACACAAAGAACACCCAGAATCAGAACAACAATTTGTGGATCACACAGTGTTGTTGCAGGGATCGTACCCACAACACTGAGCGCAGTACAAAGCGGCGAGGTGACCGCTTAATCCATCCGTGCAGTCAAATGTCTTTGAACTTCAATAGAGGAAAAACTTTTACCACATTTAATGATCGCTCCACTTCACATGTCAACTCCTAGGCACTGATGCTAGCTACTTTCAGGTTTAGTTTAATGTATTCAATCCCCACCTTATATATTCTAGTCACGACACGTTCACGTTGTTGCTGAAGCGGTAGTTTCCATGACAATAGTTGACGTTGAAAAATGTATTTTCCTACTGAAATGTCTGTTATTATTTCTTTCCTCAATATCCTCCTTTCAATATTGATGACCTAGAAAAAAGTCGATATTAAGTTTTTTTTTATTTACCTATCGATATCGATAGAAACATGTATTTATATGATTATCGAAGTCGATATTTTTAAGGCAAAGATAGGATCAATTAATATTAATGTTATAATCCTTTTCCTCTTATTCGAGGGTATCCTATCCTACGGGGTAAAAAACCGAATGCGATAGTACTAGAGCAGCTGCTCTAATCTATCGCTACTATCGCATTCGTTCTCTTCTTCTTCTATTACTTTCTTTTACTTTTACTTATTTTATTGTGCAAAGCCCGGGTTTTAAGCCCGACCCACCTGGGCTTCGCTCCACTCTCCTTAAAAAATGAATCGTTTTCAGATGGTAAAGAGGTAAATTGGGTCTGCGATCTATACATTCTACTAAAAACATCAATAATCCTGATTCCGAATGCTTAAACCGGTTATTTATTAAATTGAGGAAAACCCAATGTCGTGATATAAATAATCAAAACAATAAGTGACATAGGTCGCCTGCGTAACACTAAACAAAACAAGCTTATGAGGATGCTGACTGCTGGTACTGTCTATGGCCACAATTTATATAATTATTTATACAACTTTATGCACTCTTGAACAACAGCGGACAAGGACGGCAACTCGTTTGTGACTTCTGAGTTTTAGACGTTCATGGGTTTCAAAAGTCACTTTCCATCAGGTGACCCGTCTGCTCCCCTGCCCCCTCTAACATGAAAAAAAAATGCATAAATCTCTCCGTTTTCCATGACAACAAGCTTGCCCCTACCACGTTACCTCATCCTTCGCCTTGTCCTAAACTTGGTTGCTGTCGGGTTTGGTCGGTTGGGTTGACCCTGTCACGTAAGTGAGACTAAAGTTATGGATCGTAAAATGTGGGAGCTTCAATACGCCTTTGCTTACGCCTCCATGTCATCATTTAAATGCCCGTACATTACAACTTGCAAAAGCTCTGACATATTTTTATTTTGAAACGATGATCCTTATCGCACGTTACACGCTCTGAGTGGATAGGATAAATGTGTAACAAGACTTTTTTCCATATCTTTTTCATATTTCATATATAGCAAACGTCTGCAACAAGCCAAAGGTACTTCGTTCCGACCGGGGTCCATAGACCCCTCACGCCGTTTTTTTTAAATACGGGCAGCACAGGACTGGTTTTGTGAAGAGCCTCCCGCCTATGTCCAGCAGTGGACGTCTTTTGGCTGAGATGATGATGATGAATTTTTTTTAATGTTAATTTTTTTTGCATCTAACTTCATCAGAAAGAAGATGAGATTCACCTACCCTATGACCTTTACTGTATCACTCTTTAATTGAATTGGTTGAAAACACGTTGTATGCAAAATTCTATGAGATAACCTTTTTACACCCACCGGAGCTAAAATACGAACTAACATAATTATATTGATTTTGAGATATTAGGTAAGCCTGAATTCCTCTTATTAGTAAATACCACATTTTTGCTATCGTTATCGTATACCTATCGTTTGTTATCTCCCCTCCATAGAGCTCTGGACACCCTCTGCTCTAGCGAACAGTGCTGGTTAAACCACTTTTATTACTACGAATGAGTCACTTTTATCTGACCGCGTAGTAATTTCATGGCACATTAACAAGGCATTAGAATGTCACAGTTTAATGTTAAATTATATGATTTTCTTTATGTATTTGGAATACCCAACAGATACACGTTAAATGATACAAGACAACATTAAGAATTTATAAAAAAAATATGAACTAGGTTTTTTTATTAACAGTACAATATAATAATATTATTATTTTGTATTAATTTCTAAATTACGATTATATAATATCTATATCTCAATTCTAATCAAGTTCCAAGCTTTCATACGAAACGATAATTTCTTGGAACTTGATTGGTCAGGGAGCGAGGCTTGATCGATGCGCCACTATTGTCTTAACGCAAATGGACTCTAGAAGCAACAGTACTGGAAGGGGTTAGACTATTTTGAAATGTATTTATTGGCAAGTACTATAAACCAATGTAACTTTGTAACAAAAATCTGTATTTCAGGTTCTCTTCAAAGCGGCCCTCGTCGTTTTAGCTGGCGCATTAGGACCAGCTAAGGTACGCAAACGAGCTGCTGGTCTGTGCGAGACGTTAGAGGTGCTGCGTCATCCGCCAGAAGGTGTGCTAGGTGAAGAGTATCTCATGTACCACATGCAGCGGCTCAACCTGACTGAGGAGGACTTCGAGTTCGAACACCAGCGTCAAACCGCAAGGCGGCGGGCAATGCCTAATAGAAGGTAATTATAATTTAGTGTATTTCTCTACAAATGCATTAAACTAAAGTTGTCAGGATATTAAGAGATAAGATCGCTCATTTAAATTGGAGAAGTCAAGTTAGTTGGCACAATTGAACCCGTTTATACTAAAACGATTCACTCCAGAAACTTGTCAAATTTATAATACCACAACTGTACCCAATTATCTGTATATATTGAGAAATGTATATATTGCTAATTTAAGTAGTTATAATAAAATAAACAGTTTCTTATAGTAAGTAAATGAATACCGTTATTTTCTCGTCTCCCTATGTCTATCTTACTATTTATTGGTGCATACCACGTATTTTGTGATTAGTATTGGAACATTGCAAAAATCGCAGTTATACATTTAAAAAATAATGTCATCAATATTGTTCACGGACGATGTAAAATAAGTCAACGATAGTACATTTAAATCTAAATGAATTATACTGTGAATTATATGTAACTGTTCTTGTGAAAACAAGTCACAGGCACTATAAGTACACAGCAAATATCAGACTTAAAACTTTTTTTAAAATATATATTTGTCTACCAAGATTACACTTATGCTGGTTTTTATTTTTTTATCAGTTTTCCAATAAAGCCATACATCAAGTTTCTCTGAATTAATATAATAATATGTGTTAAGGCTAGCAGTCTATTTTTTTATTTAAGAATCTCCAACAAAAGATGTATAAAAATATAGAAACTACATTTCACACGGGTATTTGTTATGTGTACTCTTTCAATTACAGAAGACCACAGCATTCACATTTACAACTAAGTAAATAATAATTTTATGATACAATAGAGCTTAAAATAATAAAGTCTAGAGTGAAATTGCATGTTCTATGCGGCTGTTGTATCTACCCGCAACAATTAATCAACTTTTTTAATCTCTGCCCGATAAGTTTCGTTAAGTTATATCTATATCGGTCATACAACATAAACCGTGACTAAGAAAAGTAAGTGTTAGAACACTGAATATAGTATTCATATAATGGTTTTCCTTCTGTTAATATATGTGATGGCATAACTAACATAAATACAACATTACTAACAGAAGTAAACGAAATAGATTGACCTATCACGTAACACACACTTAATAGGTATAAGAACCCACCCTCTTTTTCCAATTATATCTAGGACTAGCTGAGACCCGCGGTGTTACCCGCGTTTGTTGTTATAACCGCGGGCAACGTCGCGGGGCGAAGCTAGTCTAAAAAAAGTAGCCTAAGTTACTCCTTATGTCATCAGCTATCTGCCAGTGAAAGTCCCGTCGAAATCGGTCCAGCCGTTCCAGAGATTACCCGGCACAGACAGACAGACAGACAAAAATTGTAAAAAATGTTATTTTGGCATGTGTACAGTGTAAACATACATATGCATTTAGTAAAAAGCGGTTATTTTAATATTACAAACAGACACTCCAATTTTATTTATTTGTATAGATAAACGTTTTTTTTTCTTTTCTAAGTTGTGGGCTCGAGAGGTGTAAAGCGATCTTCCGCGTCGGTATCAGGCGCTACACTCGTATCGTAACTGTTTAGCCTTTATAAATATGAATACCACTGACAAAAGATGGTGGTTAATCCCAATGATATTTTAAGGAAGCTTCGTTATATGCGTACTGCACGCACAAAATATTTGTACCAATTGTAATAATGCATTTTTGAACACTTACCTGTGGTATGAAATTCCTTTATTTACCTTTTTGTCGTAGTTTGTGAAGTTTCGAAACACAAAAGAAGGCAGTTTATAAATTTTCTCAAATCAATTAGTACGTGCGCACGCTCGCATTGGTCTTAATTAGGACCCTCGCTTTTTGTGCGTTGGTGGCGTATCTACCCCTTGTTTGTATATAATATCATTGATTATTTTTTGTTTCAGTGGCAGCTGATTCAGCGACTGTTCCTATAAGCGCTATTCGAAGAATAACGCTAGGGATCTGTTCAATACGCTGTAAAGTGAGTGCAATATGACCAAGTGACAACTGGTACTTGGGTACCTCGTGCTTTGTGATAACCGCGTCTGTGAACGCACGACCAAACTGACACCTCTAGTGTGGATAGTGTTTAGTCAAGTGAAAAATATATATAGCAGTTGAACTTCGTCGATGGTAAGAGTGCACCTACCATATTAATGATTGTTGTTGATATAGAAGGCCCTGGATTATCGAAATTACGAACGTTTTAACAAATATAAGAAAACCAATATCTGTAGGGTAACCAAATATATTGGGATTGGAATATTATTAGTATAGGACGTTAGAAATATTTGTGCACCAAACGCAGTCATCACAAATTCTAGTAAAGAAATCTTCAAATTCTATAATTGAGTTATTTTTACCACTATGATGGAGAATGAGGCCCGTTTGATGGCAAATATTTGTATGCCTCGTTAATGTATGCAAAATGAGCTAAAGTGTGGTTGTGTGTGTTATTTGACTACGTTTTAAAGACTGGTTGAAAGCGAAGTCACACGAGGGCTATGTTAGTAAAAATCATATTAGGTATAAGATCATTGTACCAAAATGTGTCAAAGATTTTTCGGGAAATCTTGGGACAGTTTTTGACATTTCTTATGTGTAAATTGTACGTAATCTTCGATTATGTCGTAGGAGATGTTGAATAGTTAGAAGATTTTTATACGCATAGTGGAAATTTAATATACTAACTTTAGGTCCATCATTGACGAGGTTGAAAGCTGCTTTGTAATTTTATTTGGGGTAAACTTTGATGATCAACTTGGTTTTTAATATAATATTTTATAATGTAGAGACTACAACTATGTAGGTTAGGTTTGCAGAAATGCGAAGGACGCAGTTTAGTGCAGTGTGTGTTTATTATAATGCAAATTTATTTGCTAGAGGTATATGTGAATATCACACCAAGTATCAATACAATACTTAGAAGACGAATATGAAAGTATTTTGTGCTCTGATGGTCACTTAGTGCTTAGTTGTGTCTGCTATTCGGTAGCAAGTTGCGATACGTGATGTCTTATAGATTACACACTGACCTTTCGGTTCAAAAAATCTGAAACTGTTTGATTCACTTGATTTACAAATAAAATAGATATGCGTTAATAAAACCTAGTTGATTATCAATACGTCACAATCCTATAAACGTAGTTTACTCCATTATAAATAAATATAATTTATATTATAAACAAATCATTTCATTAGATTTTGTATATTCTCGAAATTTATTGCTTATTAAGTTTTGTTATTAATAATTTAATACAATAAGAAAATTATATATGCATGTAGGTAGCGTATATCACTTTCTTATTTTTTATAAATCTTAATAATGAATATGGCATTTATTTCCTAAGAGCAACGTGCTCAACTTAGCCAAATCAATATGTCCTACGTTCTTCAAGCATATCTAGTAAATAGTTAATAATTAGTGTTTAGCTCCAATACAATATAAGTAGTTATAGATAGATTTTGTTCTCGAATTAAAATTGCTTGAGAATAGATTATTAATAAATAAATTGTTTTTTTCAAAACGTAAAATAAATTTGTTGATTTTTGTTTCAGTAATTTCGTTTGAAAGCTTGGATGTCTCGAAAAATAATATTTAATTAAAGGCATGTCATTTTGGTTCCTTTCTATAAAAAAGAGATTTAAAAAAAACGTTTTTGAACGTAATATTATGAACGAAAGTGGGGTAGTTGATTTATCCTTTTTACGATATCAGTGCATGCAGTTAATAACGTTAAATGATCAGGGAAACTAAACAAATCTGTATGGGATGAAGTATAATTGTTGAATATTGTTTGTAAGGAAAATGCAGCTACAAGGAAATTAATACACAGATCGGAACACAATATTTGCGTCCTCAGCGAGTGATTGGGTGTACTTTTACACAAACATTCCTATTTTGAAAAATCTAAAAAACTTGTATTGTTTTCTAAGTTTGATTTTTTGTCCTTTTAATTATTTTTTTTTGTATGTCAACCACCTCATTTTTCAAAATACGTTCAGAATCTGATAGTAAATGAAAAGAACATTTAATAACCAGTATTGTACCTTATGAAAGTAAATAATGTGAACTGTCTATGAGCGTGTATTAGTTCATTAGTTGTAATCGTTTTCCATGATTACCTTCAATATTATTTATTATTTTGTGATTAAAATAGCTTTTAATAACGATGATGTGGCAGCTTTTAATCGCTCAAATTTATTGCAACTCGAACAAAAGTTTAGATTTGATGAAAAAACTACCAAAAGTCGAATATTAATAATGGAGTCTGATAATAAACATTTTTTTAAATCAATAAAAAAATTCCAGAAAATTCCAGTTACAAATGGGGCCTTATTCCAGACACAAATTCTAGTGCATTGCGTGTTTGGACCGTGGCATACTAAGCTATGGTCATAATCCAGTATATATCTTGAATTACAGTCCAAAGTATGCCCCTAATTAAGTACCTAGTTGATCGTATCATAGCGTAAGAGGAGGCGACTGTGTAATATAATATGTAAAAATAATACTGAAATATTTCATAATATGTTGTGATAAGATTCATAATTATTAAAATTACATATCTCGTTAAAATATAAAAAAAAACTAAAAAAAATGAGTTGATTTTTTTCATGAAGTACAATGTATCTTTTTTTTATCTATAAAAGAATCATTCCATGTAAGAAAAATTCTTAAGTAAATCATCTAATTTGGTGTTGTACAAATTCTACACTAATTTAGTTGCTCGAGATTATATCCTTGATTTGACAGGTTGAATATTAAAATTAATGTTTAGTGAAGATTTTAGTAAATATAATCTGTATAAAATTGTAACATTCCCATTAGTCTTCCTTGATCCTCTTTGGTACAAGATGGACTATAGCAAATGATCTGTATATTTTAATATTTTTTACAATTTCGAAAAAGCTAAGTAACACATACATACATGTAAACATTAATTCACTCATTCTGTTTTTAACACGAACTCGCTATTCATAAAAGGAAAAGAGAATTGTTCTAAAATTGTCAATGTATGTCTGAATGTAAACTATAAATAGTTATATTTTAAGATTTTTTGTTTCCTTTTCCTCCTGCCTGTTACCACTCTGTATAACAATAAGTAAACAATATCGAATCTAGGCTATGATTTAGTTCTAAGGCCGCACACTGCGTCATGGTGCATAATGTTTTATTTATCTTTATGTTATTTATGTTTATAAGTAAGTAGCCAGGTAGTTTACAATTGAACATGACAAATATACTTGACCACTGTTATTCGCCCTACAGAACTGATAGACGGTGGATTGTAATTAGACAACTTTTGCAAATTATTTATCATAATTCAGATTTGATATGCCTTGGGTAATGCGGAAATGACAGCAAATGAAAGCGGTGGAGCTATAAAATAAGTTTACCGTTGTGAAGTGTTTTTATATCGCTGCTACCTCACTAGTGATTAATTATGATTGAGTGATTTTCACTGAATATTGGTCCGTTGTTGTAGTAAAATACACAATTTTAACGCTAGCTTTTAATAGCTAGCGTTAAAATTGTGTATTGTGTATTAATGCTAGTAAATTTTTTTACTACAATTTTTATTATAATTAGTTGGTGCCGATTTTAAGCAATAAAATTGTCTTTTATATACAATGTACCTATACTATTCTGTTGAAGCATTAAATTAATGTGGATAATCACTTTGAATCTTCTGACATCTGACTTATTACTAAATTGTATGATGTCTAATATTGTTAATATGAGACGCACATAACATTAAATTAAATTTAAAGATTTACTAACAAACAACTATCGTCTTTTGTGCCAAAATAAATAGATTCAGTCCCACGTTTTCAGAATAAAAATATCGTTTTGCGGCAATGAACTATGTTTTAGACTATGTACTTGGACCACCGTAGGCTAAACTAAACGTGTCTAACTATAACTAAACAAAACTCGTGACATTGGCGGAAACTGGACTTCACTATAAAATCGTTTGACTACTTTCTAAAGAGTTTTAGTCCAATCTAGTGTTCTAATGGCAAAATAGGCACCCATCGTCTTCCATGTCAATCCATGGCTTATGGACGCTGCATCATTTATATTGGGTTTTTGAATAACAGCCTGTATTTTGTCTTGGTCAGTTGTAAATGAGGACCCGGTAACGATATTTACTGCTGGTTACTTAGTTGTTTTCAATGGAAGTATTTCTTAGTATTATGTGGTGTGGTGTAGTGGAGAAAGCTAGAATCATATGAATGGACATAATGAATCATTTGTGATTTATCCTGGAGATGTCGAATTACATAGCAACGGCAAACTTAATATGGGAATTCACAGAATATTCTAGAGATGTTTAAACATACAAAATGTAAATGGTTTATTATTTTATTTTTATTTAAAAAGTTTAATAATATGTACTACGGGATAAAAGTATTTAAATGAAATATGGTGAAAAGCGATTTAAAATGAGTGTTGTGTGCGTGTGATTTTTGTTTATTTTTCAATGAAATTTTTTATTGGACGTTATTTGTGTATATTGTAACTATTATTTAATTTGTTGTTATTGCTACATTCAACTTTTAGAATTATTTAGATAGTATTGAAGACTCAGTGGAATGTACCTCCTTTAATATATTTATTGTCTAAATCTGTATGCGTAGCTGTGTCATTGATATACAACATATTTTTTTACATGACTAATACGACGTGAAATTAATTTATGCCTAAATTCATTAAATTCGTAACAAGGACCTTTAACGTTAACTTTATTCCAAATGATTTTACACTACACAATATGAGTTATTCAAATATTACGTCATCTCAGTTTATTCAAAGGTATGTATTCCAAAATGCATGTATTCCAAAGTAAGTTGTTATAATTGTCGACAATTACGAAAAAAATCTACATATTAGGATATGGCATACTAAA